TGGTTGTATTACATAAGTAAAGGCCCTATTAATATTTAAAGGTCGTATACGTTTTGAACAACCACAAAAATCAATGCAAAACTGAAGAAGCAAATGGTCTCCTGATCAAACATACTGCATTTTCTTTTTCTTTGCAACCAATCCTCATTACCTCCGACTTTGAGGTGAAGATAATAAGTGCATTGAAAAGGCCATGAGTATGCTGGTCGGGGTTTTCTCCAGTTTTTGATCAAATTCCAGATATGATGTCGACATAGAATATGAAAAACTGATATTTCATTCTATAATGAAATGTATGCATGCATATGCTTCGGTGCATCCCTAAATTATGCATGTTATGCTTCCAGAGAGCCAAACTATCTTGTACTCACTTTTAATAGTCTTTCTTAATGTATCTCCTTGCTTTCTGATGGTCTTTCGTTGTTTTTGTCAGTTCTTTGGCTGCTTTCACTTATTGTCAGCAGCATTTACAACATATTGTGCAGTTTTGTTGGAAATCAAATGAAAAGTGGACATGCAGATCACACAAGTGTAAGTCTAACAAAACCTCTGTACAGAAAAGAAACTGTATCTCAAATGTATGTAAGGAATAGGCAAAAAATAAAAAATCCAGCAATAGCGCTTTTAAAGGGGTCATAACGAATGAATGCAAAACGAGTTTGCATTGTCATAGATGAATAACGATAGTTCAGTGGGTGAAATGGACGTACAGAGAAGTTCAAACTCCATTGATACCTCCTTTCTCTGCAAATCTCACAATTCTAAACTTCCACCATAAAACGGGCGAATCCAAACAAATCCCCAAGTTGATGTAAACTCAGGGATGTTGCCTTATTTGGTTTTGGCCTGTACTTTTGTCGCATCCCGAAATTTACATGCAGACCGGCCCACTGGGGGGGTGAAGTGTCGACTGCTGGGCTGCTGACAGGACCTGACCGGTGGAGGGGCGGCAGGCGGGGGGAAGCACAGGGCCGCCTGTGTCCAGGCTACCATCACCTGGTCGGGTTCGGTCGCTCTGTCCCCCGCTGGCTCCCTGCCGCCATCCACCAGGGTTCCCGAACCGGCCCCGGGGCTGACGACTTCAAATGCCCGGTTTGTTTCGACTAGGAGCTGCACTGTAGTCGACCAGAATTCTGGATTAATTTGAAATTCCCCCCGAACATTTTTAGCTATGAAAAGTAGGACATGTCCAGGAAAAAGAGGACGTCTGGTCTCCCTACCATATTAACAATTTGATGTTTAAGTGAGTGAGTGCTTGTTGCTATGATGCGTCTTTGCTCAGCAGCTTCGCTCGTTGTAAACCAACCAATCAGCGCAGAGCTCATCTAAATATTCATGATCATACCATAAAAGGAAGAAAACCTGTTGTTTCATTCTAGGGCTTTTAACTAGGCTTGCATTAGGGCTCATAGAACAGCAAATATGCCATTTTCAGCCCAACCAATGTTACACACCCTGTTCAGAGAGACCAAATACCCCATAGAATCATCCTATGACCCCTATAACATAAAATAATTTTTTTTTAGTCTAGAGGAATTGGAGAAGATTTTGTCTTTGGGACGAGCTGCTGCCTAAATAGCAACTTGAGTGTTTTTTTTCTTTTTGTTTTGTGTTTTGCTAATCTCTTTGGGGCAGACTGAAATCAGGTTCATGACTTCAATGTGTGAAAAGCAGCCAAAGCTGTGAAAGGCCTTCAGAACGCCTGCACAGCTCTCAGGCCTGCAGTGCAAGTTTATCTCATTATGTTTAAGTTCTCATCATTATTACTGATATGCTCACTTACACGAAGGAATCAGAAGCCAGTTTACTCAATGCACACAAAATATTTTGCAGTGTTAAAGTAAAAATGTATCTAACTAACCTGAGTGCATTTTGTCCCACTCTGAATTAGTGTTAAATTAACTCTCTACGTAGTGTTTATCTTACATCAGTTGTTGTAATAACTCTAAAAGAGTCAATGTACTTTGACACTACATATTTAACTCTGTGGTGTCCTTTATCCTGGAGCTGGAATCAATCCTTATCTAGATTTTTGAATCTAAGGCCTTGAATTATGCAACACAGAACGTTACCAATTATACAAATATCTGCAGGTATATTTATGTTACCCCATTGGCTTCATTGATCCAAAACCTTCAACTGAGGATGTTCAGACATGCCTGGATAACCAGGACCTTCATGTTCCATTTAAGCATATCTGAAATGTGACCAACATCTGAACTAGGATGCACAGGAAGGTTCATTTATTAGAAGCAGAATTACTTTGAATAATCTAACACTGCACCACAAGTAATCAATTTATTAGCTTCCAGGTTATGAGATGTTAGGTTTGCTAGGAGGTGCTGGATTGAATGAAACATGGAGTTTTATAATAAAACTCCATATCACAGCTTCGTTTGTGCATTTACTGGTACAGATCAGTAAAAGCGTTAAAGATAATTTAATCTTTCGTTGCAATAGAATAATCGCACAGTGTAGAGTTGAGAAAAATCTGATGTTTAATTTAAGTGCGTTTATTCACTAAATAAAAAGATTTCTTTAACCTTAACCTTTGCTGTTCATAATTTGTACAACAATCGTTTGCGATGTCCAACACATACTCCGTTGCTTTGACATCTCTTGATTGGAGAATCTAGGGACAGGGATCCACTATTAATTATCTGTGCACAAAATGTCACAAGATTGCTCAGATTAATAGATTATCTTTTTCGCTTTCTTCTTCTATTGAAGAAAGCTGATTTGTGTTAATGGCTGAATTGGTCATACAATAAAGTCATTATCCTGCTAATAGACCCAGTGATGGCCATCAAATTCATTTTATAAGAACTCAATCAACTCCTCATTTACATTTCTACAATTGGGAAACAAAAGGCATTTTTGGAATACCTCGTTAACAGCTGACATAGGAATCTTATTGTAACTTGATAAAACTTTTTTTCCCTTCGTGTACATCATTATTGTGTGAGAGCAAACTAATATGGGGTCCTCCTCCAAAATTGCTTTTCACAGTTCAGTTTTTTTTAATTTTAATTAGGGATATTGGTAAACATGGATGAGTAGCTTGTTTTTCTCCCCAACAAGTTTCTAAATATTGAAAACACATATACAATAAGCTCATGGTCTCTTATTTTATTTAATTTGAAGACTTATTAAGAAAGATGTGCCTCGGGTCATGTCATGTTTTTCCTCAGGGAAAAATGAAGTAATTTATGATTAATTAGTGGTTCTAAATATCTTAAAGCATAGAGTACAGAAAACCCTTTTACTTAATTATATTTCTAAACAGAAATGTTTTGTGTGACTATAATCGTTCTATTCACAATTAAAAACGGATATTAATAATAACAGATTTCTGACCCACTAAACAATTACCCTGAGCAGTGCTTTTATAGTTCATAGATTTTAGTATAATCTAATAGCATGAGACCATTTTCCCATTTAAAGGAAGCAGATGGATTTTCACATTGAACATTATTGCTCGTCTACATTATTTGTGTTATAAGTGGTTAAATCACTTGATCAGCCAATCACTGGAGACAAATAAGAACGTATTTTATCATCTTTTTGAGAATAAAATATGCTCTCCTGATATTCATGAGACTTTAGATAATTACCGACTGTTTTCTAACTGAAAATCTAAAATAAGAGTACTGATTTGTTAAAATCATCTTTGTTAATTCCGACTGCATGAACTTTATTGGGATATAATCTCATCATGCATAAGACTAAAAATAGATATGCATAGATTAGAAAAGTCCAATCTGTATTTTCTTTTATGGTTTTTTTCTATCATTGACCTATTGTTACTCATTTTGGCCAAATCCAATTTCCCTTTAACAGCTCTGACACAAGGTGATATAAGAACAGAATTAAAATACTTCCTCATTACTAGTTACTAGTATTTTGTTAGTACCTAAAGTCATAACCTGTGTTAAATAAACTTTACTATTGATTTGTTGTTTAAAACAGGGTTTAGCATTGCACCATGACAATTAGAATGGTGAGGATGCCTGACATTGCTATAGTATTATTAGTATTTCTATATCTATACATTTAGGGAATATAGATTGATTCTGTAATGAGTTAAAACCTGAGGAGAAACCAACTTTGCTGTAACATGATGAACCTTTCTGTCATGTTCATGATGGAGTTCAAATTAAAGATGCTCTAACAATAATCTCCATTTCATTTTAGGTCTTTTAGCATCAGAAATACTTCCACATTGAATAGTGCTCTTAGAGCACTTGACAGTAAGGACATTCTGATTAATTCTATAACTGCCACCTGGTAGTGCTTTGTATGATGTCTTCACCTACTGGAAAAATCAATATATATTTGAGCTTCTGATCATCTGATCACCAGTTAAGGACTATAAAGCTAAAAATAGTCTGAATCAGGTCTCCAGCTGTTTCCCTAGTGGAACTCAATCCAAAACACTAATCTGGAATGAAGCTTGGTGAGAAACAAATCATTTGCAGCTTAAATCAGGATCCTAATCTAATATCCAAAGAATCCAGCTGCCCTTCAAGTTATAGTTATTTTTAGGATCTTCTCTTTGGACATAATCCCTATATTTGTGAGATTAAAAGTCACCATTTTGATGAATTGACTGTGAAAGCTCACTCTGGCTGTGTGTGTGGGACTGATTGTGTGTTATTGATCAAATGTCAGTCATTTGTCACAGGTGTATGGAGTCTGCCTGCCACTGTGTCCCATCCTAACGCATGGTTACCTGTTTTGTCACCCCCTTACAGCTCTGGACACCGCCCCCTCTCACGTGCTACCCCCTCCCCTAAAAATGCGTCTCTCCCTCCTCCTTCTCTCCCTTCTCTAAATGTGGTTTTTCTCCTCTCTTCACACAGCTCCGCCCGTCCAGTTTAACTCCATCTCTCATCTTCTCACCTCTCTCACGTCCTCTCCTGCTGCCTTCCTTTCCTCCTGAAGTGACCTCTCCTCCCCTTGTTTCCTCCCCCGACCCCCTCTACCCCCTCCGCCCACAGGGCCCCGCGCCTCCTGCTGACCCCTCCAAGGTGAAGGCAGCTGCTTCGGAAAAGAAGAAGCTAGAGTCTCGCAAGGATAAGAAATAGGATACGGGGAGGGGCTGGGGCAGGCTGCTCCAGCCCATTCGCCAGGTAATGGCGGCGAAGGTCCAACCCAAACAGAAGCAGCAGCAGCACACCATCATTAAAGAAACAGAGAGGGTGGAGGGAGGTGGGGAAGAGGGCTCAGGTCGGGTCCTTATGACCATTGAGCTAGAGATGACCCGGCAAAATGGGGAGGAAGGTTCCAGCAGCGAAGGAGGGACTGGGAGGTCTGAGCCGCCCGGCCTCCTCTCCCGCCTCTCCAAACGACTCACCGAATAACAGGCCTCCACATGGGGGTGAAACCACAAACCTGCTTTACATGCGGCACTGCCGGAGTCCCTGAATAAATCTGTTAAATCATATCTGCTCTTGTCACAGAATGTATTCTCAACTACTGTACGAGGGCCCAGATGTCACGATAATCGCTAACACCAAGCCCGCTCCCTGACTGCTTTTGTTAGGTCATAAGATATGCCATTTGAAGCAAGACCCTGAGACAGCCCGGGCCTGATAACAAAATCTAAAAAGGCTGCTCCCAGGGTTTTTGCCTCTCTGGTTCCTTTCATTGTGATCCAATCCACTGAAAAAGCTTTTTCTCAAAGTACGTCCGATACGCATCACGAATCCCTGGCTGCGGGGACAAGCCAATTTGCTTCTTTTTTTTCCTTTTCTTTCCAGAAGCAATGTGTCAAACTCCAGCTTTCTTTCCTCACACTGATTTCTGATCCTCCCCCACTTTCCCATCCCATTTCTACCTCCTATTCCTATAAATTTCTGTACTTTCTTGTTAAGTCAAATTACAGAAATGATTGAAATGCTAACTGCTCTGTCATGTTCTTTCTCTTCCTCCCTCTTTTTCCTGCTCCTGTAGATAAAGGTCTGACTTCTCCATGACTGCCTCCACTCCTCTAGTCTGCTCCCTCTCTTTCTGCCCAGCCTGATGCAACCCCCGTTATTCCCCATTATCTGTTCTCTCTCAAGACAGCACTGGCTGTAAGAATAGTCCCTCTATATCACTGTGCAACAGTGTCAAATAATTTTTACAATGCCTCACTGGAGAGAGCCTTTGCGATCACTGGGCTAACTGTAAAAGTCTTTAAGGCCTTACTATGCACATAATCCCACAGACCGCCCCTCGTGTGTTTAGAATATTTCTTCCTCAGTTTAAAGTTTATGACTCAATCACGTCCACCGAGCAGAGATGAAGGCGCACGCTGGACTTCATGTAGAGGAAAAACGGAGAAGTGATAGCGAGAGAGAAATATGATTCCTGCTCTCAGCCAGCGAAGATAGAGGTTCAAGCCCCGGAGCTCGGAGGTGATTCAATCCCCTCACATTTGAGCTAATGGAGGTTGTCGCTGTGTCCCTGCCCAGGCTGTAAGGGGGGCTATTTCTGGCCCCTATAAGAGAGCACAGGCTTACAGTAACAGCTGCACATTTTTTCAGCCATCGAGGGGGTAGAGGTGGTGGTGGAGGCATTTTTTTTCTTTCTTCCTGTTTGTGCCTGAGAGAAGCGTCCAGTGACCGACGAACTGGAATGACGTCATGGCCTCCAACGGCCGCGGATGCTCTCAGGTGACTGACAAACAGGATTACCAGGAAGAGGTGTGGCTCCCGACTTATTTTAGGTCCAGTTAATCCACTCGCACGTTTCTCCTGGTCGACCTGCAGCTAATTATTTCCGTGCGTGCTGGTAATAGGATATCTCTCACCGCATCAACCCCCTCCCTTCTCTGCCATCTCCGCCTCATCTCTGCCCCCATCTTGGGAATCATCTCCCCAGTTTTGCTGTCTCTGTCCTTAAAGTCTTTGGCTTCCGTTTATCTCTTCCTCTTCCTGATGTCCACTGAGTCTGCACTGCATTATTCCCCCACTGAAAAAGGTCTATACACAATCCAATCTACTCTTTAAGCCTCTCCTTATCTGACTGGCAGGCCTACAGCTCAATGCTTCACTCTCCTCTGTCCTTCCTTCTCTTCATCATCTTTGTTACTCTCTTTTCCAAACTCTGAGGCACACGACTCTTTTCAATCTTCCTCTGACTTTGCCAGTGATTGACAGAAAACGCCCTCAAACTTTGCCCTTCAAACACTGCAGGGGAAGACTTTTCCCTCGCTGGGCCATTTCATCCCATCTAGTTCGATAGCCCCTATTCTGTATTAGATCCTGTAAACAAACCATTTCAAACCCATATGTTTAAATAATTGCATATCAGTCTATTTTTATGGGTTATGTAGAAAAATAGTCATAAAAACACAAACTTTCTTACTTTCTGTAATGTATTTTAATATCTGTAATTCCCAGATTTTGCATTACATTCTATTTTCCTTTATTTTGATTCTTATTTGTGTACAGCTGACTTTTAGAAAATGTTACGTTTGATTTAAGCAAAATTATCTTAACTGACCTCTTGCTGAAATACAGTTTTTTTTTATTTTATTTTATTAAAGTAAGAAAACCTTACAGCAAACATTAGTGTAGCTGAAATACAATAATCTCATGTCAGTAATTGGATCAGCAATATATCAAATTGGATATAAAACATCCCTATGATGCACCGTGACGTCGGGTATCAGACAACCGCCTCTGATCTCTGTAAAAATCTGGTTCAAAACGACCCAAAACCCAAAAGTATAAAAAAATCAAAGGGGTGAAATGATCAGTAAAACCTTTTCCCTTCACCTGTGGCCTTTTTTTTTTACTCTCCTCTTCTTGTTTGAAAGCCAAACACGTTCCGAAGCCCCCTACAGGCTGAGGAAAGCTCCCTCACTCAACATGCCAAACGGAAACTTATACTCCAAGCTAGTTCTTCTCTGTTTTATGCATAAGTGTTTATGTTACAAAATGTTTTTAAAAAACGGATTTGTTATAATGCAGAAAAAGTAAAGCCAATAATGTTTTCTGGAACATTTTTTTACATGTATATGCACCGGGAGATCATGTTATAACTGCATTTTCTATGCTATAGAATTTACCGTTATATTTCTAGCCTTGTCTGTTGTGGCAGGTACTGTGTGGCTGCCTCTTGGGTGAATTTCATTTGGAGACGGAAGAAAGCTGAGGTTGGAGTGCAGGGAGTGAGAGCGGATAGCCTTAGATTCATCACTCTGTGGCTTGGGAGGAAAGTAGAAAAACCACAGAGGAAGGTGCTTGCTGTGGAAGCAAAGCTTTGCAGGAAGAGACTTATCTGGCGTATTAAGCCCTGCCAAAAAAATCTGTATGTATCACTACAGATAGCCTGCTTTCCCCCTGGAGCTTTTCTTTTAAAGGTGCTCCTTCCCAACCCTGAGCCAAAGATGGATCGTAATCTGCAAGCTTGATATGCAGGCCGGATAGTTCAGCCTTGAACTTTCCTTGAAAATTCATAACAGAAATAGGAGGTGCTTGAATCCACACATTCATCATCGGTTTCACTCGTCGCTGTTTTAGTATCCAGTCAAATGGATTAGTTAGAATGTTTTCTTGTTTTAAAGCAAAGCCACACAGATGCCTGGCATAACATGAACAGTATTTACATGCCGTGTAAAAGGATTTCTGAGCGATTTAAACTGTTTTAGCTATAGTCACTGATTAACATTTTGAGCTTCTTAGATTTATTTCAATGCTTATGATCATTTCCGAATGCTAACATCTTTTTGTCTCTGTAATATGTTGTAAAGAAAATGTAAGAATAAAAGCCATAAGCACAGCTGCTGTGCAGTAAACCCAGCTGAAAATATCTGTTGTTTCTTTCTTTTTTTTTTCTGTACTGATTTGTACAAAAGGATGCGTTTTGCATTAGTAAATACAGACAGGAACAGAGTCGGAACAAAACCCCTGACTAACAACACCTTCATCTGTCTTAAACAGGGGTGACCAAATTGCTAAATCTTTTTTTCTATCTATATGGCTTTTTATCAATTTTATCTATGTCAGTATTTTACCGAAGAATTCAACTTTCTCATCTCAAGAAGGAAATTGGTACAACACCAATGGTTAGTTTTTTGGGAAAAAAAGTACACTTCTTGCTTTACATTTATTTCTAAAGATGATAACAGCCATTTGATATTTTTTTACTCAAAAACAGGCTATGGTTTACATATTTAGCCAATTTGTTTCCATAGAAAGAGCAACCATAAAAAGGTATTTTGTCTGCAAATAGAATAAAAAACAATTATATCGATTTTTTGGTTTGTGTTATAGGAAGTTATTTTTTTCCCTTCATTTTAAAAACTAAAATTTAAAATGCCATATTGATTATTAAATAAAAGGATACATATTTAGTAGATATTCATTAAATGTAAGTTATTTTATTAAAAAAGATCACATAATGTTGTTTGGTTTTAAAAGAGTTTTAATACCTGAACTGAATATAAAAATGGCTCTTTGGATTGTAAAGGTTGCAGAGCACTGATTTAGAGCATCCAATTAATCTAACAGTCTGGTTTTGGACGGTGGGAGGAAGCCGGGGACAGCTCATGCATGCATGGGGAGAAGGTCCAGAAAAACCCCAGGCCAGGTTTGAAAACCCAGGACCTTCTTGCTGTGAGGCAATAAGACGACAAAGTGTATACCTCTACACAGATAAACTAGTGTAGACGATGGATGGATGGTGGAAAATGTGGTGTATATTTTGGAAATGGAAAGAAAATTCTACACATTTGTCAAAATTCTTCACAGAAACATAGAAATCCAAAACTCCGGCATGCATTTTGATTGACTTGCCCTGAATCATTACTTCATACTGTAGCTCCACCTTTATCTACAGTTAGCGCTGCATCTCCTTTAGGTTAAGTGTTAAAAAGATATTGGCTCATTCTTAATCCAGAATATCTTTACCTTGGATGACACTTGATTTAGAGCTTCACTAAAAAACAATCTATGGCAGTTAGAAATAATAGAAATCGAAAAACGCATTTATTCACTTTCTCTTTGGAATCAGTAAAGTAGAATAGAATAGAAGATAATTTGCTCCAGAATCTTAACATGATTTAGATCTACAGTAGACCTTAACTGGACAGCCAACTTATGAACAAGTATTAAGCTAAACCATTTTACTTTAAATCTCCATTTTAGCTCTATGTGTGCTTAGCGTTATTGTCTTGCTGGAAGGTGAACCTCTATCCAGGTGTCAAATCTTTTCTATGCACTAACGGGGTTTTATTCCAGGGTTGCCCTGGGTTTTACCTCCATCCATCTTCCCATCAACTCTGAACAGCTTCCCTGTCTCTGCTGAAAGTGTCTATGAGCAAACCTAAATCAGATACACCAGATTTCTTCAGAGGAATGAGCCAACATTCCAGCAAACTATTTTAAGAAGCTTGTTGAGGGTTACACATATGCTTTTCTTTAGTTATGCTGTTTAAAAGGCAATGCAGAAAAAAACACATAAAAAATTTATCACTTCAGATTATTAGAGAACATTAAATCCCAGCTGTTGTTGAACCTTTACAAAATATTGATAATTTAGTGGATTTGATTAAATAAAATCTGATTAAAAATTAAATTGATTAAAAAACTAACATCTCTATACAGAGATGAGGGATTTTAAATCAGTGGGGATTTCAACCAGACATTGCTTTCGTTATTTTCTTTATTGAGAAATAAAGCTTCTGTTCCCAAGTTGAGAAAAAATGGATACCTATTATTGAAGAATATTTCTTAAATGGTCTGTGGACAACAGAAGAGGTCTAAAGACCACGATCAAAAAACAAAAATACCTTTTTCTAAATTCAACAGAAATGTTTATATACTCAAAAGGATAATGCTGATCCCAGCTTTCTTTTTTTCTTTTTGCTTTAAATTATTACCTCACACCTCAGGAGGCTATTTTAAAGCGGTTTAAACCTTTTTTGCAGAAGCCAATTCTTAGCTTAGTTCATTTTACAAAGGTAAGGTTTTATTCCATCCTCACAGACTTGCTGTTACCTCACCATTCAGTAAATGCCTGTTTCATTTTAAGATAAGCATACTTTCAGTTGAGTTCATTTTAATTCAGTTTATTTATATTGAGCCAATTTACAAGAAATGTCATGTGTAGCCTCTTCTCCAAAATAAATAAGAGCAATTTATATCCAATTACATAGGATCCAGTTAGGTTCAAATTCAATTTAAATCAATCCATTTCATTCTTACACAGGGTCTTCATGCGCTGCTTTATTGCTGCCTGTTGCCATTTAGAAATACAGCTGCACACAACAGTGTCTGTTTCTGAAGACCCTTTGGATATATGCTCTATTGAGTCAATAGAACCACTTCACAAATGATGACTGCTGTTTGTAGGAGTGATTGTAGATTGGAGATCTGAAAATATCAGCTGAAGGAAAAACAGAGACCAATAAATAGCAACCGCTGGTTCAGCTTCATAATGATACAAACTATCAGGTCTCATTTGCTCCTCCCACAGAGTGCATCTAAGCCATATTGCTGTTTATTGTGAGCTACGGTTCAGTGGATGCATGTCCACCATTATGTTGTCATCTTTGTCCTCATGTAGCACTAGAATAACAAAATGAAAAAAAGATTAAATTACATCATCATGCAAATGAACATATGTAAGGTGTTTTATCTGCTACACTATTGCTTTGGTCCCTGGATAATTCAATTTATGTCTAATCTTCTTCACAAAAAGCTCAGTCAAATTGGATTAAAAGGATCTGTGGAAAAAAATATTAACCAATTAATATGCTTTAATATAAACTAGCCCATTTTAGCTCTAACTGTTAGCTTAAGGTTGTCTTCTTTAAATCCAGGACTTGACTACAAACTTAGGAGATAAATCAACCTTTGGATTAAGGTGTGTGGAAACAGACACATTTTAAAAAGGTGCAGGACACTAAGCCTCTGAACTGGGATTGAGGATTTCTGTTTTTTTTTACCCTGCAGGGTGCTTCAATCACCTTTCTAGTTTAATCCACTGAAAAACTTCCAAAAAGCATGATGCTCTCATCAAAAAAATGGAAAAAATGTTTTGATGATGTGTAGTGTTCTCTGCTACACATGCTGTTTTTCAGGTGGACAAAAAGCCTTTAAATGCATGTTGGATGATGTTCTTTCAGCTTCCAGGGGTGATCATCTTATCTACTGGCTGTCCTTTGCCATGTTTTGTGATGTGCTCACCTATGCCATTCTACGTACTTGTTCCTTTCTAGTTTCTTCTTGCTGCACATGCACACTTCTAGCCTTCAGGTATCCAGTGAACTTCAGTTGCAACTATTCATTGTAGCTCCACTGTTCTCACCAATGTGAACAGACCATAAACAGAGCCTTGCACAAGGTCACCAGGGCCCCAGCACACACATTTCACAGGCAGAATGGCCTTGCACAAGTGCAGTTATTCAAAATGTTACTTATCTACGTACATTTACCTTTAATTTAGGTTCAAATTGACGAGTAATGAGTCATTTCACTAACATAAAGCTTGAACTTAATTGGTAGATTCCAATCAGCCTTACCTGGTCCACCTGCTGACGTTTCATTTTCAAGGGCCACACCCCCTCCGATGCCAATCATTTTTTAAGATCCCCTTCATTTCGCTTCTGGCCGAACTTCCCTCCAGCCAAACTTTAACCCACCAAATAACTTATTTCATTCATGTCAATAAAACCTTTCTAATTGTGTCTTTTCTCTCTCAGTCTCTCCAGGTTGAAATTCATCAGTTTGTGGCAAACTACAAATCAACTCCTGACTTTCTTCCCACTATAGTTTTCTTCTTAAAAAGTTTTACACAAGGCAAGAAGGCAGGAATGTAGAGCCTACTGCATAGTCTTCCTGATGACAGTATCTCTTAACTGAGGTGTTGACCTACAGTATGAAGCTCCTCCAGAGTTACCATTAGCCTCTTACCTGCTTCAGCCTGTTGGATTTCCTATCTGTCCCAGCCCTTAAGCTTAGGTAGACCGACATCTCTGGATGAATTTACAGCTGTGTCACATTCATAACACTCATAAATATTATTTGTACTTCAACTGTAGTATTGACAACTGTGTGTTTTAAGACTGAATTATCTAATTCAATCAATAATCCAATGAACTAAACTATATGTGACCATGGTCATCAGAATCAAGTTTATTGCCAAGTAGATATGTACTTACAAGGAATTTGACTTGGCGTTGATGGTGCAGACAAATTGGATATATATACATAATACAGGATCAATAGCTACTGTATGTACAATATAAAACATATAATGTACTGTATACAACAGAGGTCTTCAGTGGGGGTCCGCGACCCCACGGGGGCCACAGAGGTACTGCATGGGGGTCACAAAATTTTTGGTTGATTAGACTTTTTTTTTATTCCAACTTACATTTTTTTCCACCAATTGAAATGTCTTTAAACACACATGAAAATGAATTCAACACACTGTAGTAAACAAATAAATGGAGGCAGACGATGTCTTTCAGTCATCAATGCACACATTCAGAGACACACAGGATCTCTTAAAGCTGGGAACCGTTTCATTCACAACACCTGTCCCATCAACCAGGAATCAGAAATACTTTAATAATCTCAGGGAGAAACTACTATTGTTACATTACTCCATCTGTAATAGAATCACTATTGGACCAGTTTGATTTAACACATTTTCATACAAAAACTATAATTAGGCGGTCCCCGCTCCATCTCTCCATCAGTTTTGGGGTCTTTATATACTCAGTAGACTGTGTGTTAATGTAACGCAGGAGGTCTGGAGATGCTATGTTGGTGTGGCTTCTTGGTCCTGAAC